TCCAACTTTTTGTTCATCAATTTCTGGAGCAGAATCCCAACTGGATTTACAACTTTCTTCTTCCATAATTATCTTTATACAAATAATAGCCCAATTAAAAGAAATTAATTAAAACAAAACATTATAAAATAACTACATAACACTTATTTTTATGTAAAATACCCATATAAACAATAAAACAACAAAGATTATATAAGAATGTTTTATATGTATTTTATACTCTCAACATACTATTCTAAAGGAAAATATGAAAGCTTAAAGTACATATAATGCCCTTTGACAAATGCACTATTTAAACAAAATAAACATACATTGATCTTATATAACAGCATAAAAACCTCCTTCAAATACATAACTTAWAATAAGTGTTATTCATACAAGTTAAATTAATTATTTATTTTTTTTTTAACTATATCTTACAGTACATTTATTAAATTATCTTTTATCTAGWGGYGAATGCTAACACTGGTGCACAGGTATAATACTTATTTATTATATTATTTTATAATATTATTCATTGTATTACACATTTAGATATACCAACATAAAGGATTAAAAACAGTTTACAATTTACTTACACATTCAGTTTCTATGAAACCCATAAATATTATATRAAATAATATATTAATATTTAGAACTAAATAGTAATAAAATAAAATAATGAAAAACAAATTTAAAAAAAAGTTTTACTTTTATTACTTTTATGCATTGTACAGTTGAATATTAAAAATGTTAATCAATGAACAATTGTTCAAGCGCAACAGAGAGTGCACACAAAAAGTGCTTAGTAGTTTAGTACCGCGGTCACTAGTTAAAAAGGGCTCTCATTACAACTGGTATTTCTTTGTGACAGTTAACTTATAGATAAATTACACTACAGCTACCATCAGCATATACTCAATATGATGAAAAAACTACTAAGAATTTATGCAAAATATTAACAGGTTAAGCGTCACAAAAAAAAAAAATGAGATTTTGCATATATATCGTCACGTAGGATTTATTGACCCTGCTGTGTGAGTTGTCAAAAGCGCTACAAAAGCTTTGTCTTTAACGCCACATAGTTTCAAAACCTTAATTTTACGWGTTATTCTGTAGAATTCAAATAGAGCGTTYCTTGTAAGGCAAGTTAAATTTTAGAAAACCTGCTGAATCTGATAAGAAACATTTTGACATGTAGTATGTTGGGTTAAACCAACGTAGGGACCCTACGTAGCTAAACCTGTTAACCYAAGMACCTGAAAAAGTTAATTTGAATATTGCCATCATACTTGTAAGTTTATATTGGAAAAAAATTAAGCAAATTAAAAATATTATAATAATTGATGATAAAAATACGAAACTTTTTATGACTAGTTTAGTTTCTACTATGCTAAAACATACTTCAATTTATACAAGTACAGTATACCTAATTTAARACTATTAGAACTACGCTAATGCTGTGTTTGATATACGATGTTATTTACTTACCAGCTAAATGGTTAAGAGGACACTACACCCGCATGTGTTGTCTCCGTCTTACAAGTRYGTAACWTTGCAAAAAYTGTTTCGCGCGGGAAAGAACCGAGAAAGTTACAGTTATAACTAAGAAACGAAATTTTCACCACATAAAAAGGAGTATTTTGTCTGTGCAATATCATTTGTATTTTTTCGATATCAGAACTACAAAAAAAGTTATTCAAGCTTAAAAAACACAAAATTAATATATTATAATACAATAAGAATTTTTTTTGTATAAGTGATATCAAAAAAATAAAAACGATATTGCACAGATAAAATTCTCCTTTTTATGTGGTGAAAATTTCRTTTCTTAGTTRTAACTGTATCTTTCTCGGTTCTTTCCCGCGCGAAACAGTTTYWGCAATGTTACGCACTTGTAAGACGGAGACAACACGTGCGGGTGTAGCGTCCTCTTAAACAACTATAAAATATGACTTATAATTTGTTGTGGCTTATTGGGAGTGGTACTCACGCACCCTCACACATTGTTCATAAAATTTAGATCAAATACCATATACTTACAAATCAATCGCCGGYGATGTACGAAACTATGAACCACGACAAATCGTTAAGCCCTCTTATTGACAAGCGAAACGAAACAACCCTGAATTCAATTGAAAATTAATAATTATTAATTTACCTTCAAAAAATTAATCAGAAATCGACAATACTAACCGAAAGTTTATTTACAAGCGTAATAATATTTGGGCATAATCACACTAATACACTATCACTGATTTATCAGCACAATTTAAGATAGTAGTACTATCTAGAATCATGGATTCTTAACTTAACCTAACCTATAGGACTGGACACGACAGCTGGTAGAATGGTGTGGGAAGGTTAATCACAAAATGTTATTGGTTGGGCGGAGTACCTACAGGCTACAAGGGAATTTGAACTTCTTTTGATACGTCTTCTTAGTGGATACTTATGGAACTAGATCAAATTATCACAAATTTCCAATGCGCCACTAAAAAGTAATTTTTTATTGATTTGAATTTCAAATTACAAATAAAACTATACAAGTTATAACAAATTAGTATAACCACTAKTTACTATATTGATGTAAGTAAATCTGATAAGCTTCTTTAATATCATATTATCATATTGTACCTATTCATGTTAACTGTTAAGTGTGAAGTATTAAGGGCCAGCTGTACCGTCTACGGTTAAACTTCGATTACGCTTAAYCAGCTGATAACAGATATTTAACCGTGCAAATTCGGCCGATTATGCTCCGGTTAACTTTAATCAGAGACGGTACAACTGGCCCTAAGACTTGGACTAAATATAAATTATAAAACTATTAAGTTAAAAGTAAAAAGTAAAAACCAACATGACTTCTGTAGTATGGAAATTTTTTACGAAGTGCTCTGATGATGTATCTAAAGCACAATGTTCTATTTGCAACAAGAAAATATCTAGGGGNCATGACTTCTGTAGTATGGAAATTTTTTACGAAGTGCTCTGATGATGTATCTAAAGCACAATGTTCTATTTGCAACAAGAAAATATCTAGGGGTGGACGTAATTCTCGGAYTTTTACACCTCAAAACTTAMTAAAGTTGCATCTTATGCTTGAGCATAAAAATGAATTTATGAAAGGTAACGCTAATAAGAAGAAAAGAAAATTGCTACCTAAAAGTGATTTAGAAACTATTGTACTTGACCTATTTAAATTAATCATTAATTCGGTGGACACTTATTAATTATTATTTAATATATTTTGATTAGTTTATTAGTAATAATGATTAATTACTGTATAGTAGTTATAGGAACATAACATAATGGTTCTGAATGAAACTTGGTTCTTTGTTAATTTGATATGTAATAAATAATAAGAAGTTAATTAATAATTACTTTTGTTGGAAGAAGTAGATTTAACTGTTGTACAAACAGCTAAAACATGTCAAGAAGTATCCAAGCCAAGTTCATTGCTAAATAAAACTYAACATTCAAAAGTACATCAGCCCACAATAAGTTTCATGTTGGAAAGCAAAACTCCATTAGCATAATTATAGCTCAAGATCCTTACATATTACTGATTTGATTGCCAAAATGATAGCTAAAAACCAGTTGCCTTTTCATCAGGTTGAAAAACAAGGTGATATCTTGGTTTGGTTTACCCTTAGTTTTACTTTACTATGATTAAAGTTGTAAACTTTAAACTTTAAACCACGGTTTGCAATTAAATTTTTTCCA